GTCATTGTTACATGTGCATTTGTTTTGATATGTCTTTGTTAAAAAGTCTGACAAACTAGACAACAGAAAGAAGACATAACAGCTAATGGGTGATTCTAATGGTTTAAAACAAGGTGACTGGATTTCTTTTAAATAAAAAATGTCTCCGACTGGAGACGATGTAGCGAGGCTCAACGTAGTCGGTAAATATTATTTCACTTCTTCTGAAATATGACTCTTTAACTTTAGACTCTCCTTACCTGCAGCACTGCAGTCGACAGGAGATCTTGTGTTTATTTGGTGGGAGGTGAGTTAAAAGACCTCACGCATATTTCAAGCTTGTATGTTTAATTTGATAATTAAAGTTGCTGTCTGTGTTGACACTGCTCCTGTATTGCCTCGACTAGTTGCTGAATACAATATTTAAAAGTTTGTGAGTTTAAGCAGGCTTTGCTTTGCATCTAATCTACTTTTGTGTCTATCAGAACTGTCCCACACTGACCAGTTGGTGGTAAACAAAAGCTGTCTGCCTGTTTGTGACAAGGCTGCAGGAGGAGCTGCTTTCAGTGCTGATAGGCCTTTTCTCTGTGTGTCAGACCCACTCCTGCCTGACGGTCACCGACAAGCTGATGTTGGCACTGAGCCAGTTGGAGGAAAAATCACACAACCATTGTAGAGGCAGCATAAAGCTCGTTTGTCAATGGTCTGAACTGGTAGGGTGGGGGGTTGCTTTTCTTCTACATTTGACTACATTTTTGTCTAAATTAGTCTTCCTTCGATATAAGAAGATAATCTGACACCCATACAAACTGAAAGGTGTCCACTGCCAGCAAAAATCTAAAGAATGAAACTTACATTTAGATTCTCTATATTACTGAATTTATTATATGAGGAAAATAAGCAAAATGTTGTTTCTGCACTTTTAGATGGCATGGTTTAATATTTTACTGAAGTTAACACGTATTTTTATTCAGCTGTGAAACTCTAAAAGAATAAATACATTTTGGCAAATTCAGCTAATAAAACAGCAGATTTAACAGACTTCAAGCTTTACAACTGCTGAAAGTAGACTTCTAAACAGGCAAATTATCTTTTTTAAGAATCCAAACTGCTCTGCTGTTCATGACTGAAAAGAATCGGGGTTTCTTGGTGCTGCCTTTGTTTTGGGTTGTCATTCAGTCTTTGTAAGTGGTTGACAGGAAGGTGACTGGGTCTTGGAATATCTCCATAAACACAAGGGGTGGAGTTGACCTCCACGTTGCTCCCATCTTTCTTTTTTAACCAATAAAGAGATTTCTTTCACTTTTGTTCTTTGTTACAGCCCAACTGAAAAATGCTGAAGACGCTGGATTAAATTTAAATGTGAATTTTGCACAAAAACAAGTTTATGGATTTTTGATCATGTCAGCACCTCAGTTTGCTGCTTTGTTGTTATTTTAAAATAAAACTAAATTCATGTTTTATTTTGTTTAATAGGGCTACCTTGTGTGTCTTGCTCCTTTAAACAAAAGCGTGTTTACAGTAGTCCCACGTTTATTGCGAGGGTTACGTTCCGGACCCCCCCCCCCCCCCCCCCCCCCCCCCCCCCCACCCCCCCCCCCC